CCCCAAAACCCCAAAACCCCAAAACCCCAAAACCCCATATATAGGTTTAGTAAATTTCCAGGCTTCAGCAATAAAAATAGAAATTACTTGATTTTAAATTTATGATAAAGTATTTAAGGATGTTTACTGATAAATACCAATTACATATAGTAACTTATTTATCAAAAAAGCTGTTGTGTGGATTTCATGAAAAATTTTCTTAAATTTACAGTTAACCCATGTTATATTAGTTCATACTTATAACAAACATCTTAGCTCTTAGATCTTTAGGATCTTGCTCTGACAATTGTTAATCAATACATTCAAAAACATTCTATATGATTTCCCTTCTTTTTAGTAGAATTCAAGTTACCTTTGTCCTATGCTGGCTTGTGATTTCTAGGGCCTCTTAATTTTCTTCTGGTATAAAATTTTCTTGTATTTTAAAATCAATATTAATAGCCTGAGGTTAAAAGTGTTATTCGTTTAGGTTAGGGTCAAATGACTTCTTGGTTAGCAAACTTATTTAGTACGTTATCAATCTGCGGATCTTAAAATTTTCTACCATCTAGGTCATCTACTTATTAGTCCATATGTCAAATTTATGTAGCTTTGTATATGCTTACTAAATTTTTGGGTGATTTAAGTTATTGAGTCACATCAGTTTCCTCTTCATCACCCTCATTTAGCATTTCAGATGATTTCCTACGAGATGGTTAGTTAAAGTGATTATCTTATTATTCACTGCTTATGTTTATATTTATTGTGTATTAATCTTTCGTTTGGTTAGTTTAAGGTTGGATTATAAATAAACTGGCTTACTCTTTAAGTGATCCTATATTGAGTGAGTAGATTTGCTTTAGGATGCTTTAGTAGTTATTTATTATGATTATCTTAAGATTACGTTCAATAAATCTTCTGGATAATTGAGATGGTCCAGATTCCTATAGGGTTCCACTTTGGAGTCTGGACATTTTGAAATCATGTTTTGTGTATCAATGTTAATTATATTAGAAGCTTAAATGATTCTATGTCCATATTTATAGTTTATGTATTTCATTATTTATTTAGGACTAATTAATATTTAATTTTTATTTCATTAATTATCCTTTTAATTAGTCTATTTGTCTGAGAGGGGTTTTGGGGTTTTGGGGGTTTGGGG